TTAACGATGACTTAAACTTGGTAAAAAATGAAGTTATGGATGCCTTAACTGGTGTGCCGTATATTGAAAATAATTGTTTCACGACAGTTTATGTAAGGGACGGGAAAATGTTTGTTGAAATTGTTGATACGAGAACAGTAGACATTATGAAACGAGAGGAAGCGAAGAATTAGTAGAAATACTAATTAATTTTTAGTAAAATCCTATACTTCAACTTAATATTAAATAGCCTGTATTTCACGAAAACCTTTTAAAGACAAAATACATTAATATATTAGTGAGGAAATGACTGAGATATTCACAGAGGCTGAACAAGAAGAAATTATTGATGAGTTCTTGACTGCTTGTGGAGAGAAGCAAGAAGAACCAGAAGAAGATTTTAAAACATAATATGACAAGTTAAACATAAAAGCGGGAGAACACCAACGAGAAATACTTAGAATAGAAACAAAAATTATATATTCCACTTATGGAAGCAATGAAAAAACTGTATGACCCATATAATACAGGAGAAATTGATATGTATGCATATCGTAGAAAGAAGATAATTGAAAAATATGGTGATGTATTACAAATTCGTAAGAAGGGAAAGTGTTATGTTTGTAGCAAAGAAAGATTAGAACGCATAGATTTTGAAATAATTGAAGCACCGAGCAAGCTATACTGATGTAGGCATTGCTAATTAAATAATAATTAATAATGATATGTATTATTATTAATATGTTTCCACTCCCCATCATTTCCCAGTTCAGGGTTATAGACTTTGGGGAGGTTTTTGGATTAGGTGGGGTGTTGGGCTTTGGGAGGTTGTAGGCTCTATCATTTCCCAGTTCATCGTTAGGAAAATGGTTAGGATATGGGGAAGGTAAAGTATTTGGGTGATAGTTATGGTTTAGGGGTTTTGGGATAAGGTTTGGATTAGCAGGTGGCTTTAGAAATGGTGTAAAGGCGTAGGGTGGGGTATAGGGGTGTGTGGTGATATGAACTGGGAAATGACCTTCCCTTGCTCTTTCGAGGCATGCAAAGTGGCCTCAACGATTTTGACGTGCCCGACTTTGACAAGGCCACCGCACATGCAAAAGTGAGTTTTACTAGTGAGTTTTTGTGTATAGGTATACGGCTACAAAGTCTAAAGCGTGACAGGCCCTGGCTCGAGCTTGCACAGCACTCGGAACCGGCGCCACACAGATCAAGCCCAAGAATTGACGAGGCACTTCTGCAGCATGGCGACACGCTGCACAGCCCCATGGAGTTCCTGCTACTTTGCTGGCAGTTAGACTGGTTGGGTCAAGGCCCACTTGTGAAGTGAGATCGGTGGACTGGTTTCGCAGTAGAAAAATATTTGCCATACTTCGGTTGAACTGTGACTTTCTCCATTGACGAAGCTAGGGGTAAGGCACATTCGCACGAAGATTCATTTTTGTCCACCGACATAAGCCAGTGCCTCACATGTTGTCCGGCCGTGTGTCGTCAAATCTAACAAAATTCGAGCAGGTTCATTCGGCACGCTGCATGCAGTGTATAGTGTATACATGTCGCGCTGTGTCCTGTGTCCACGCAATGATCTCTCGAGTTCATTCAATCGGACACCCGATCAAAGCCCGACTCAACAGGCCGGAACATCATTATCATCTTCACTGTAAGGCGCTTTCTCTTTGTGCGGTTTTGTTGATGACACATCTCAGGAAAGAAGTACTTGCCTGATTTGCTTGCTTGTGCTTTTGGCCTCTTCGCGTCTGACGGCAGTGAAACATCAGTATGCTCGCTCGCCAGACTTCTCGCGCACTACAGCCGCAAAAAAGGCACGTTACCCAAACTCGTGAAAGGTTATCTAGCATGTTCTTCGCACGAGTGGCCAGAGAACCTGTCTTCTCAAGCTTGAAACCGTCGATGTCCGACATTCGTGAATCGAGCGGAAGAGACAGTCGTAAATGAAGTCAATTGGTCCTCAGAGCCTTAGATGGTGTGCACTGACAGAAGCACGTGATACTTCCTGCCACCGCAGCACATGCATGGCCGAGCAGCAGCTCCAATTTGTCCAAAATGCCGCCGTGCACTTGATGTGCGTGTGTGTGTGTGTGTGTACGTCCGCTTCACCTTGTGGTTTACCGCGGCAGTACTGCGGCCGCGCATGAGCAACGAACTTTGTCTCTTCCTGCAGCTTCCTGAGTCCTGAGGCATGGGGCAGCCAAGCAAAGCCCAGTCTTTCTTTGCGACCCGGGTGCCTGCACAAGCTATACCAGCAGCTGGGTTCATTCTTTTGGGACTGGCTTTGCATCCCCACCAGTCTTGGTCTGCAAGCTGTCCAGACGAGTTCAGAGCTCGGTAAATTGCTGTCGTGGCGGGATGCTTCTACTTGCCAGAGGGATACAGTAAAAGACCTGTAACTACTGAAGGTGGTTTCATCTCAAAGTCGGGAGTCCAAGCTGCCACATGAGGCACCAACTACATCCTGGCCGGCTTTGTGGCCTTGGGAGCTAGCGGAGGGACGGACTGGTCAGCTCTGGACCAGAACCAGATCTTCCCCAAGTCAGTGCCTTGTCTCATTTGAAGATGGTGTTTCGTGTACTTACAGCTGACCCTGGCTCCGTGACTGCGCAGGCAGGTGAGAAGTACCGGCAGTGTACGTTCGCAGACAAGGGCCAGCTCAACAATAGCCTGACCATTGCAGGCGGGCCGGAAACACTCAGCCGTGCAAAACCTGATGCTCTTTACTCTTTACCTCGACGAAGTGCCCATGTATGGCTTAGCCGTAGGATTGAAGCGAGTAAGGGAGGCGACGAAGGTGCATCGGAGACCTGCCAATCAACGAGACGCCCATAAGCCGCGGCTAGCTTAGAGCCGAGCTCTCATGACGAGGAGCGTTGTGATCTAATATGCTGGTGCAACCTCTACAACAAATGAGCACCTGCCAAGCGAGTTGGCGAAGCTTTGCATCATCATCCCTTATAAATCTTGGAGCCATTAACATCGCCAGATGCCGCGCACCGAGAAGCACTGTCACCTCTCATCCCCAAGACCTGAGTGTGGATGGGGTCTGGATTATTAAGGCGCCCATGGCCTTTGGAATTCGCTCTCATTGGATGCCTGAAGGGGGGCCGGCTGCTGTAGGCTTCAATGGTGACGTGCCCGTGTTCAGACAGTGGGTTCCTGTTCGGACTACCACTACGCACAGTGTGCCCACATGTAGTTTTCTGAGACGAGCTGGTGTAAACAAGAGCCTGCAGACCGGAGAAAAAAGAACAGGCACCGTCACCCAAACAATCCCTGCAGTATTCTTCCTTCGGCCAGTAAATCCCTTGTGTACATTTGGCCTCACTTCAGCCCTCGGGAGGTGCCTCTGGCGGGTTCTTCCGCCACACCCGCGTGAGCTCCCAGGATGCCTCCATCCTCGGCTGGACCACGGGATCCGAGGGAGGGAGGGAGTGAGGGAGGTCTCTGAAGGGTTTTTCATTTTCCATTCCAAGTAGGGCTTGTAGGCTGTTGTTTTACATGGGAGTTCCCGATTTGGGGGGCAGGGGTGTTTCTACGGAACGGTGGCAGTTGCGGTCTAGGTGCTTGGGGTTTGGGTATTTTGGATTTTGCAGTTGGGCTTTGGAATGTGGGTTTAGGGGTGAGGACTTTTCAGACAAACTGAAAGTCTGCAAGGCAAACCCGCAATCTAGAATAAACGCACATGGTCGCAATCGACAATGATAAGGTACTACCGTCCCATGTAGTCGAGTTAGTTTCACCTGTGACTGGTGCTTTGCGGTATTATGCTTTGCCCCGAAACCGACATTTAATTTGTGCATGTGTTCTCTCTTGGGCAGGACTTGCGGTAACCTGATCTCCCCCGCCTCGGCTGCAGCGGCGGCTGCGGCAGCAATTGGTACGGCTTATCGCGCAGCGTGCGCAACAAACGAAGCAAGATGATCCTGCAGCTGAAAAAGGGTCAATGATCAGTGGATGCAGAAGGAATTCTTCTACGACCTGCTCGTGGCCAAGCAGATCATTCCTGCAAAAATGGTGGATGCCATGCAGGCACGAACAAAGCTCGGGCTTGTATTGTTGCGCCATAAGTTCAAATTGGCCACAGAGATTGAGACAGTGTGTGCGAAAGGGTGAGCATAGGAGGGAAAGAGGGAGGCCGCCCTGTGCCGGGCAGAAGAAGATGGGACAGAGTGACAGAGTGTTGTTTTTCACACCGTGCAAGTAGTCTACAGTAGGTGCATACATTGTCTGCGTGTGGGTGCATCCGTGCGATTGCGTCCCTCGCTGTCTCCCTTTTTTGTCTCTCACTCTCGCTCTCTCTCTCTCTCTCTCTCTCCCGCTCTCTCTGTCTCTCTCTTTCTCTCTCACTCTCTCTCTCTCTCTCTCTCGCTCTTTTTCACTGTCTTTCTATGTCTTTCTCTCTCTCTCTCGCCGCCTCTTTCTCTTTCTCGCACTCTCCCTCGCTCTCGTTGTCGTATCGTTTCCATTTGCCTGTTTGTCTCCCGCCCAAGGCGTCTGGGCAAGAACATAAACTGACACCTCTGAAGCCTTCACTTCGGCCGGTGCACCGGTAGAAACCTGAGCGGGTGCCCAGGACTGGCGGCCTTTGAACGTTGGATGGGCCAAGGGTCAGATCCAGTATGGCACTGGTCTGATGATACAGTGCCCCAGCTGACAGAGCAGCTTGGGTTGTCTTGATGGTCTGGTACCGGTGCAAAACTTACTGCACGTCCTGGCGAGGCAGACCAGTTGGAATGCAACCTACCCGCCAGTCTTGGGCAGCTGGGGGTCTTATGTGGGCCACGGAGGCGGCGAGAATGAGTAAAGCTGATCCAAGGATCAGACGATAACGAATGGGTTGTCAATGATGTGCAGGGTGGCCCGGACTGCCAATAGGTTGTTAAACAGGGTGCTCTTACGGAAGGCAGGCATGTCTACATTGACATGTAAATGTGGTGGGCAACGGGCGGCGTTTCGAGACCTTTGCTTCCCGACGATTACCGAAGTTGTAAGTTTTCGTGCGATTCAGATGCCGGTCGCAGTCGTAAGGGAGGCAGTTTTTACTACTGGCGGCGGTCGCTCAGTTTCAATTTTCTGGAATTATCACGTGGCCCGACGTGTGCGGACACTTCCAACAGTATGGAAGATACGGATCTAGATGCACAGTCTTCTCGAAGACCTGGTTAGGTTCTGACCACGTAGTCGCAAATACTCCCAGTGTTCGCATGGACCTTCGGACCCAGACCTAGTTACCACGCAGCACTTCGGAGGAGACACTTATGGCTTCCTGTCAGAGAGCGGCGTCCTCCCTCAGTTTAATGCATCCTTTTCTGCCATCGCGAACCAGGCAATCGGGTCAGGGCATGTCAATGTGGAACTGGGTTTAATGTGTAATTCAGAACAACGACAGCTTGCGAGGGGTGCAAACTGTAACGTGTTCGGGACCCGGTCGGATTTGCTTAACCATGTTCCCTGCCAAATTCCTTTATGGTCAGTACTAATTGAGCAGTGGATCAACTCCGGCCTAGATCACATTCTCCTTTTCGCAGGCCGCAGCCTTGGCTTTGAAAGGGTTCAGAGCTGCTTCTGATAAGATTAGCAAGCCTCGGGCTGGATTTGTTCTGAGGATGATTTCCCACCAAAAAATCAAACCCCACATTCCTCCTAAACTACACTGAACGCTCTCGACGCACAACACCCCCTCTAAACCTCAACGCAAAACCCAGTGACACATCATGTGAAACCGCTGCTGCATTGGAGTACTACTCTGAGCGGCTACCTGGTACCACCTGCTCATGGCACGCCTGTCTGTCTGGGACGGTCAGAGTAGGGCCGATCGCACAATGACAAAAGAACATTCGCGTCGTTTTCGGACTCGAAACTTGGTTCCTGATATTTAGATCCGTACCGACCAAGAGACAGGGCAGCACCTGTGATAGGACTACATGGGCACCTTCGTGAAGAATCTCCTCGTGTGCAGCATCATCGAAGTGGCAGTGCTTCGGTGGCTGTAATTCTGCGCTCACTTTCGCAGAAATCCCGCTGCATTCCTCCGAACGTCACGAAAAACGTGCAGAGCAGACTTCTGACCTTTCGTGCTGTTCCTGCCAAGGCCAAGGTGATCCTGGATGAGGAGATCTACTTGAAGCCCGGGGCCATAGCTGCATGGTGCTATCGCATGCTGCCGAGATCGGTCAGTGTCAGTGCTGCCGCTGCCGCTTGCAAACGTACTTGTACGTAGTACCTCAGACTTCGACCTTGACTCCGGGGCTTTTGGGGTTTCAGGTGTGACGGCGACACGGTTCTTGTCACCGAGGTGTGGCATTCAGCCCTTCCCAACTGAGGTGGTTGTGTAGCCAGAAAGATACATCAGAGCATCTCGCAGGTACCGTAGAGTGCAACATGACTGCATCAGCGCATGGACCAATGATAGAATCTGATAGTGTGCTGACAAGACATAATTGTAAGAGAGTCTTGTCTATTCGGTTTCACAGCACAGCTGTCGCGGTGCGGCTTGGGCGCGCGAACACCTGTGCCACAGAGGATGAGTGACTGCGCGCTGGGCTCTCTCTCTTTTCTGAGCTTCTCGCACACATTTGCTTGCTTCTTTATTGAAGGGTTTGCAGAAGCCGAAGCAGCAAGTCCAGGGCCTTTTGCAGTTTGCGGAAGCTCACGGACCAGCATCCATCACGAGCACGCGTTGTTGTGTACAGGAACCCTTTCCGAAAACAAGGTGTCAGTGCAGCATAGGAGATCCGCGCAGCTTCCACGAGATGCGAGTACGTGTCGTGAGAGGAGACGTTTGCCATCTCTGGCTCTCAACAGCTTGTTAGACACGGGGTGGTGCATGCCCCGTCTGATCTCGCCGGAGTTGCACCTCACGAGATCACATATGACAGCGCAATACTGCACACATGACCGTCGGTCTCTTCAAAGACGGTTTCACAGTGACCACGGCATTGAGCCTGTACTCTGTGCGCGCTTAGAGGCTTAGAACCTAAGTTGCAGCTGCAGCTACACAAGCTGGATAGCTTGTTCGAACTGCAAGTGAAACCGCACCTCGTGGTCAAGCAGACAGTCACCTGCGGATCGCAATTAGACCGGAAACCTTTCCTTGTGTGCGTGATGGCAAGTCACATGGCCACCGCCCGGCGGCTGCTGTCGGTGGGCATGGGGGCCAGGATGTGGGGGTCCAGCTCGAATCAGCTCGAGTCTAGCGGTGGCTTCAGTTGTTTAACCTATTTTGCGGCTTGGCCCCGGCTAGACCTTGTGCGCATCAGTCCTTCTCTTCGGGAGAAAGCTTGTTTCGTGAGTCGTGTCCAAAGCAGCCAACCGCAGAAACTGCACCATGGCAAGATACCGTATGCGAACTTAGGCTATGCAGTAGCCTTGAATATGCTGAATATTCTGAGTCTCCTGGGCCAGACCGAGCCACATGAACAAGCAGTGCTCCGGGAGCAGGCGAATCCTGCCCTGCAGAGAGCTGCTGTCGTAGCCGCAAAGGGCGCGGTGCGCGCCTAAGTGTCCTTGGTCGTGTCACGGACTTCACATCAAAGCGGGGTGTGAGGTTCATCGGCTGAGTTTGCAATGTTCCGGGTCAGCAGACATGCAACAGCATACTCGATAGTGCAGGTTAGCCTGCCTAATTCTGATAGTCAATGGGCAGGTCGAAAATCCCTGCCAAATGGATTCCAAGCTCGGCGTAAGAAGCGTTGTAGTGCACAAACTTGCACCCATGACCGCCTGCATCTGAATTGTTTTTTGGGCCTGTTGTGAAAAGTCTGGGTTGATTAGATCCATGACCTTCTGTTGTCGCAGTGGCGTGCAATTGCATGATCACCCATATGAATACATAAGAGCAGTGTATAGCAGTGTTATAGACGTACTTTGGTGGTTGCACCGGTGTGTGAGCATGACGCGGTGGTATGACGTAGTGCAGTGGCAAGCATGAACAGAAGTCCCACAATGTCGTGCTTTGGTGCTTGTTGAGTCCTCTTATAATTTACGCTTACTAGGTCGCCGCTTATCATGACCCCCACTTCAAAGAAGTTGTGTCACATCAAAGCAAAAAAAGACTAAGTCCACGGTCTGTCGCTGCACTGCTGAAACTGTAAGAACTCAGAGTTCGAGAGGGTCTTGTTTGCGACGGAACAGAGACACTAGTGATCTGAAGCTTCTGGATAGAGGAACGTGGCTGAGCTTTGTCTAACTTTCCTGACCGATAAAGACACCCAGAAACAGTGCGTTGAAGCCCGGCCTGCCCCGAAGCCTCCACTGCTGCTGCTGCTGCAACGACTATCACCACGACGACGACGACGACGACTACCAATGCTGGTAATGGGACTACAGTTTCTACCGCTACTTCCACCAAGTGTTTCAGGGGGCCCCGCCTACCACCACGGCTACGGCTGCGACTGCGACTACTGCGATCAGAGGCAGCCAAGACCTTTCCGCTGCCACCTCTACCGCTACCATCTCCGCTGCAATTACCACTACCACGACAAGGGCGGCGACTACCAACAAATGCTGCGGCGAGTCCTTTTACACTGCTACTGGATCCAATGCCTGCTGCTGGTGCTGCTACTACCACGACGGGGACTGCATTCAAGACCAATTACATGCAATTTCTAGCCGGCAGAAGACCTGGCACCACACAAAAAAAGCTGATACCACTTCTCTTTTTGCTCTTCGTACCAGTACTGCTGGTGCTCCTCTGCTGCCGTAGCTATGACAATCACCACTTTCTACGAGCGATACCGGGAACTATAGAAGATGCAATCATCACGAACCATTACTGTGCTCATGACAGCCACTCAGCCGCTTGCAGGCAGCGGCGGCAGCTGGCGGCGTGGGCTTGGCCCTTGGCCTTCGAGAGGTGAAGAAGATGCCAGGCGCTCGGCACCTGTGGAGGTTTGCAGAAGTTGCACGTAGTGAATGCTACGGACAACTCAACCGATTGAAACGCAAATGTCTCTACACCTGAAGAAAAGAACAGCCCCCCGCCCTCGTCCAAGGAGCTTTGACGCTTGCATGCATGTATGGATGCTCACGCGTGTTTATAGTCTTTATAATAACTATGTTTCTGTGAATATGTGATGTGACTGCGGGTGCTGCATGTGCGTTTTCGCCGTGCTATGACCCCCCAAAAAGTTGCTCACGAAGCCATAAGGCCAAGAGCCAAGGCAGCCAGGGGTTGCCAGCTAATCATCACGAGCCCTCTCAACTGCAGGCTTCATTCTTACCATGAGATCTTCATTTCCTTGATGGTCATTCGGCATTGCTGTACGCAGCTTACCGCTGCTTTCCGCCTGCCAGTCGCATGTAAAATAGTGCTCGAGGCTGCAGCACGAGACACCGATCGACTTTTGGAAGGAGGTATCCGTTGACGCCTTGCACTCAGAAAGCATGAAAGCTTGAGACATTTCGTCATGCTGGGCTACTTTCTGGATTTGGCCCCATCATGCCGAGTGCATAGCAAACGCCTTCGGAAAAGGCAATACAAAGCAAAGTAACGAGAGTTGCGCAAATCAACGTGCAGGTCAGAAACAATGCGGGCGCTGAGGGCTCAGTAGTCAGGGGCTTTTGGTTTCCTTGTTCGCACCCACATGGCACTAGTCTTTGCTGGTTGAGGGAGCTCACGTCCCGTCTGCAGTGCATCGCGTCGGCATCGGAGAAGTCCCTGCCCCACACCCCTCTTGCATCACGGGACCCTGCTTCTCCAACAGGCTTCAAAATCTTCTGCTTCGACTGCCTCTGCATCAGTGGCGGATCTCTGCGCAGCGTCCTTGGCTGCTTCACAGTCGTGATGTGAAGAACTGAACCTGCAAGCTTGTAACTGTACATGTTCCAACTTGAAGACATTTCGGTAGAGTCTGCGGTCTTAGTTGCATATGTCGTGTTCGAGTACTGTTTACAAGCAAGTGTCCGTGACTGGGCGGTACTACTGTGACAGCCATGACTGGTGTTGCTAGTGTTGCCCCGATTGTTCGTCCCCCTTAATTATACAACCTCGACGACTACGACCGCGGCTACTGTTACTGGAATTTCATCCACAGGCAGGGTGCGTGAGAGGCAGTTCTGCGGGACATTTACGTCTATTTCCATGGTCCATAATGTGTTTTATATTAATTTGCGACATCGTTTGATGCTACAGCAAGACTGCCCCCACGTGGCAGCAAGCTGCACACGGCCAAGGTGCGAAAAGCTTCTCAAAGGCACTGCACGGAACCCCCAACAGATGCAAGATGTCAGTCCAGCAGTCAAGGACTCTTCTTGTTGGACTCCAAAGAGCCAGAGCAAACGACAAGTCGCACCAAACCCCATGGTGCAAGTTCGCTTCCATCGCAGGCTAGGAATGCGCTCAACGAGGAGGACTTCTGGCGGGCTGCTTCCAGGCGCAATGTCGAGGGCCCCTTTGGTGAGGTGCTGCCAGCACCGAGAGGGCACCGAAATCCTGATTCCGGTGACTCGGCCGTCCTTCCTCCTGCGCAGCTCCGCAAGTATACATACTGTATCAGATGAACATTTGTTTGTCTGTTTGTTTCGAGCGCAGGCTTCGCCCGTTGGAGCTCCAGCTTGAAGAGCTGCACGCCTTGCTCTTGAAGTGTTGTCTGGGTCAAGGGACCAAGTTTGGCAGTGCTTAGAGGAAGGAATGGAAGCTTTAACGCAGTGTGTGATGTATGCAAGTAAGAAAGTACGTGCGCTCGCACACAGTCTCTCTCTCTCTCTCTCCCACTCTCTCTCGCTCTCTCTGTCTCTCTCTCCCTCTCTTTCTCTCACCTTCTATACACCTATGGCCTATGAGTATGTATGCATGTACATACATACATATATATATATATGTATGTATGTGTGGGTGTACATATACATATATATATATATATATACACAAAGACATTTCTGATTTGTGGTCTCTTACATACATACATGCATACATACATACATACCTACATACGTACATACATACATGCATACATGCATACATGCATATATGCATATATGCATATATATATATATACATACACACATTTAGTGTGTGTCTGTGTGTATGCATCCAATTGCATCCACATGTGCATATGTGCATTTACATGTGCAAGTATGTGTATGTCTGCTTGTGAACAACTATACAGGCTATACGGGTCCATGGGTTTTTTTCATGTACGCGGGTTGACATCTGCACGAGCATGCATGCAGAGGGTGCGCGAAGTTAGGGTGCTCGCATCGGGACGCTGAGGCCCAGGGTCTGACGCGAGCTGACCTCCGCAGAAAGGAGGACGAACTGGTGAAGGTCTGGAAGGACTGGTTGGGGTGACCGCTTTCACGCAGATCGCTAGAACTGCTTCAGGGCAGCAGTCGAAAATGGCGTGCCAATGCGAAAGATGCTGGGGATGATGATGCGGATGGTGATGTGAAGTGAACCCACTGTGTTCGATCCGGGTAAATGCAGCAAACCCTTTCCTCATGAGAACACCGGCATCATCTGTGCAGGTAGTCTTATGATTGAGGTGCAGCTTTGAGACTTTGGCGGAAGAGACACGGAATCGAAACTGCTGGATGTCCCACATTTTTCTTTCAACATCTGGGCAGCACAAAGAAGCGTTCTTGCACAATGTGGAGCAGGTTTTGCTGGAAGATACCTGTTTCAGAGAAGTTCGAAGACCTATACTAGTTCTGAGTGCTGTAGAGACCAGCGGTCTTCAAAGGGGAACCTAGCTTGGAATGTCCCAGTGACGAGGAGCGGGGCTACTTCGATCCAAATCTCTTGGCCCGGGAAAGGGCGACTCTCTTCGGCTGGGAGCTCCAGACTTGACATTTCATTGTATTAAGCCGTCAACTTCCCCCTATTGCATTACATTACGTTTGCAGTTGTATCATGATATATTCAGACATTCAGTCATATTGCAGTAGAACAGTTGCCTCATATTATATACTGCATGGGATCAGCGGGCACTCGATGTCGTGTCGCGGTGCGGATTCCGGGATGGCGGTCGGCCGAGACATTGATGTTTGCTGGCATAGTGGCCTCGTGGTGTATAATTGAAAGCAAGCGATGTCCGCATTACGACGGCCAGTCGCTGAAGAATCTTCGTTCATGTTTTTTTGGGTTGCCCCATCAGTCTGGTTTCCATGGTTCCCTTGGCTTTGGTTCATTCCTTCATCAACTGTTCTTCCAGTATCAAGTTTTTTTTTTTTTGCGGCAACCCTTACTTTACTTTCCAATCAGAATCTCAGAAGCTCCGAGGCACCGGATTTCGCAAATTTCTGACCATTTCATCACACTCACTTGCTGAAAGCGTCAGCTTTTCAGGGCTGATTGATCTTTGGGGAGGCTCGGATCCAGTGTGATGTCAAGACTACATTATATACATGATATGTACATATACATATGCATATATTTACGCAAGCAAATTACACTCTGCTGCATCATGTTATGTTGTATTGGTATTAGGTTGCCTTACGATCTTACATGAAGATTACGTGATCTTGCTTTACTTCTACACTGTCTTGAACTAAACTGCATGCTATGCAAGTATACTGCATTATGTTGTATGCAGGTTGTATGAGTTTTCAGTTTATAAATCTTGTTCCCTTCCCCTTTATCCTGAATTCTTCGAGGTCTGAAGTCTTTTGGCGGTTGGGCACAAGGACCCAAACAAGCGAACCACATTTTGGGCAACCCAGCTCTGCATATCCTGGCAAGTCAGGAGGTCTTCTGTTGGTAAGTTCTAGATCCGTTGCTAGTACATGCATGTACGCAATTGAACCACAAGTTTGCCGAATGTGTATTGCGCTGCTCACTTGTGACTTGTACAGACGATTGGGTCTGCAAATCGCCTCTTATAAGTACTGTTTGGATAGGTTAGCGACTTCCTTGCCATCTTCACTGTTGTGTCAATCAACACTTGTCCCAAATTGACTTGGATTACATTTCGCAACGCAGCTCGCACCTTTCTCTGCCAGGAGGAACGTTAAACCGCAAGGTGCTAGTAGACATCAGTCGTGCTAGAAATCGCTGCGAGCCGGTGTTCGACTTTGAGCAGGCGATCCACCATCCGGCTTTCACAGGGCTTCTATGAATTGCTTTAAGACACATACTTCCGACTGCAGACCAGACATTGTTTGTCGAGGCCGGCGCTTGACCAGCGATGCGCAGGGGGTGGACATTGGTGTTCTCGTGCCATCATACTTGCCAACAAGCAGATCCAAAGCAGGCCGGAAACTCGACGGGCAGCTGCAACAACACGATAAACATGCTTGCAACTCTCGCGGATTCACTGACAATGTGCGTTCATATTTGTACACACCCAAGTTTTGGGTCACTATACGTGGTAATACTTACAGTGCCCGCGAATATATCGTACATACATTATAGAGAAGGACATGCATGCATACACGAAATACCCTTGAACACGTGTATACAGACAGGTGGAAATAGGCATACATACACACATACGTACATACATATGTATGTGCATGCATGCATGCATGCATGCATGTCCGTATGTGAGTATGTAAGTACGTAAAAATGTATGTATGTATGTATGTATGTATGTATGTATGTGTGTATATATTTATACATACACATGCACACTTTTTTGTTTATACGAATATATTTATATGTATGTATGTATCTGAACATATGCAAATACACACATATATACCGGAATATACATAAATAAATATATATATGTATATATATATACATATATATATATATACGTACACGCACGTGCATATATGTATATATATATATATGTGTATATATATATATATATGAAAATAAATATGTTGTGGCAAAGGTGTGGCATAGGTACTGCAAGTTTATGTTTAGACTCTGTGAATGTCTGTGTGTGTGGGCATGCGTGGGGAGGAGCCTGTATGCGTACTTCTTCACAAACACAGGCTGTACCGTAGGCAGAAACTAAATCAGACGTTGTCGTTGTGAAGCCTTGCCTGCCTTGTGCGAGTTGCGAGATAACAAAATAGATGGTAGCAAGTGTTCGCATCGGTGCTAAATATATGAATGAAAGTGCAGTGTATGTGTGTGTTCACATGTCTCTCGCCCTCGCCGGCGCTCCCATGTTTTATGCTGTTGTATTTTATATACAAACACGGATGCATACATCTGCTTCTTGGGTCCATCCGGCAGAACTGTCGCTACTGGTTCTTAAGCCCTACGCCCGAAGCTCTCGAATCCCTGCATCCTCATACGAGGAATCTCGCTTCCACCTCATGTCATGGGTTCTTGGCGAAGCATCCAGCTCTGCATAGGTACTTATCAGAGGATGGAAGGTTGAAGCGAGAGCCTTCCGGGTTGCCACCAATAGCAGACTAATGCAGTTTCGGAGAATTTCGGGTGGTTGCTCATTGCCAGCGATGTTTGATGGCTCCAAGTAGGTGTATCTTCTTGCGTTCCCCCTTTAGCTGCACCCAGTTCGCCTCAGCAGCAGCAAGTGTTCGACAATGACGACAGCTGGCGGCTATGGTCAGCAAGGTCTTGATGCGGAGGGGCAGGAGCTTGAGGAGGCGCCTGGCCATCCTGGCCTGCATTCCCTCCGACGTGATTTCGCGCACAAGCCTGCTGGGCGCCTGAACCATGGCTCTTTCGGTGCTGCTCCCGCCTCTGTCCTGCAGCGGCAGCGGCAGTACCAGCAGCGCTGGGCCGAGCGGCCCGATGACATGTTCTTTCGAGGAGAGCTCTTCGCAGATCTTCGACTTGCCTCAGCCAGTTGCATCCCCTTGATCAGCAGTGACAACGTCCTGCCTCAGCAAGTGGCATTGATAGAAAATGCGTGTGCTGCAACGGCCATGATTGCACACCGCTGGTCCAAGCTGATAAGCCCAGGCGACGTAGTTTTTGTTCTTGACTGCGTCTACGGTGCCTGCAGGATGTGCCTCCAAGAGCACTGTTGCAACGATCCACGCATAGGTGGGCAGCTTTACACACTCAGCATCTTCGAGGAGCACGGATCTTTTCCGAAATCCTCTGGTTTAATAGTGGAGCGATTTCGACGCAGCCTTCAGAAGCAGATCAGGTGCATCATTGGGCAGGCAGTGAAAGATGGCAAGCAAATATTCGAAAAACATCGGCCAGTGCAAAGAGAGTGCAAATTGTACTTTTTCTTGGACTACGTGTCCTCACAGCCCGCATTTGTATTGCCTGTTGCAGAGATGCTGCGGGAAATTGGGGTCCTCCTGAGTACGGATTTACATGCTGAGCAATCAGAGGCGCAATTGTCTTTGGGCGAAGTCTGCATCGATGCCGCGCATGCATTTGCAGTAGAGGGTTTGGACGTGGTACAGCAATTCGAGGGCTTGCCCAGTGAATTGAAACCTCACTGGTGGTTTGCAAATTTGCACAAGTGGGCTTTTGCACCTCCGACCGCCACGGTGGTGTATGCCAAAAACGCGGAGCTAATGTCTCAAACCTCCCATCCGATGATCAGCTGGTTCTACGGCAAGGGCTTGCAAGAGGAATGCCTTTGGGCCGGAACTCGTGATTACAGTGCCCTGCTCAGTGTGCCGGCGGCAGCTCGATTCTTCCAGACTTGGCGGAGCCCGGATGGTCTTGGTCCGGCAGCCTTCTCGAAAGCCAGGATCCTTGAGGCCGGCACGTACCTCTCCTCGCTTTGGGGGACATCGGACAGTTTGCCAGATCCCGAGCTGGTATGCGCTTTGATGATGGTGGAACTCCCGCGGGAATTAGACGTAGGAGCGCAGGATCTCCCCGGTCTTCCCACATCCGACACAAAAGAGAGGCGGAGTGTGCGAACGATTCTCAGAGAAGACTTCAGCGTTGAGGCGGCTGTCGGCAGTTTCGGGTCCTGCGGAAATTTCATTCGCCTTTCCTATGCTGTGTACAACACCTGGGATGATATCCTGAGCTTGGGCCGTGGGGTCATCCAAATCTTACAGGCTCAGCAGCGCATGAAAAGCGAGCAGGAAACAGAGGTGATCTGGCGCTTCTTTGTGTGCTCGCTGGCTCAAGCTGAGCATTGCCTCCATTTGCATTCTCTGGACTTCAGCACGACAGCCTCTCACAGCAGGGTCCGTTGAACTCATCCGCTGGTTTGAGGAGAGGCCCCGCCTAAAGATCACAAAACTGAGCTCCTGACAGGCGAAGCGACGACTCCCGCCTCCTGGGACCTGGACTTGCTGGAGAAGAGCGAGAAGGCTTTCTTAGACTTGAAGTCTTGGGGCTCCTCGGGTGATGATAAAAGAACTCGCACCTTTCAGGCTTTGGAGAAGTGGGGCTGCGTGCTGCTGCGTGGGCTGCTGACGCCCGAGGTCACTGGTGTCTCCTGTCCTGAAACGATCTGCTTTCGGCATGCTTACCGGCGAACAGCTGCACAGTGGTGGCTTGCAGAGCAGAAGTGCTCCCAATTTGTTGTTTCTGTCCGGTATGGAATCATCCTGCAACCGGAGGACGTCCTCAGCCTTCGCAGAGCCTTCGGGCTGGGAGGCCATCCTGGGTCCCTTGGATGATTCGAAGAAAACTTGACACGTCCCCGCCCCGCCGATTATCCAACAGTCAACGAGACAGGATTTGGAGAGATTCGAACTGGTTCTTGCGGCTTCCTGTGAACTGAAATCGGGACTGCGAGTGAAGCTTCGTTCTAGCTCTGCCCGAACCTGAGTACATGTGTCCACACTGTGTGCACAGAGGAGCACAATCGAAAGCACCTCGCACATCACCACAAAGATCCAATAGCTCCAAGACCAAGAGTGCGTCGCCTCGCATAGCATAGCGCATATAGATTAGTGTGGTTATAGCACCTCAGACAGCAACACAGAGCAAATGTTAAAACATGCATCCCAAGGCACGAATGTGTAAGCCCCACAGCTCACTCGAGACCAGGCCCAGGGAGTTTGCACCGGCCCGCCGAGCAGCAGAAGTTGGTCTGTGGGTGCAGCTCAGCCGCTGTTCGGTTTGCAGATCTTCGGGAGGTCCTTCGTAATTCTGATTCGCAAGTCTTGAGGGTGCCTGTGCCTATGTTGTTGCTGACGCCGTGCCGCACATTGCGGGTGCAAGCCGAGGCAGCAGCATGATCCAAACGTGTCCATGGGCCGCTACACCTTCGGTCGGCTGCATCTGCTGTTGCGAGGCTTACCAAAGTTGCAAATTCCAGGCTATGCCTCATATGCCGTCCATGTGTCCCACAAGAGCACGTGCTCCGGTCACCGGTCTTTCAAGACTGTGCACCCCGACAGACAGGCTCTCCGGAGTATGAGACTGCTGCTATCTCACCGCATGCATCACTCGCACCTCTGGTTCACAAGCACTTCGAGATCCAGGCGAGGCTTTCATCATTCACATAAACGGCGTTGCAAAATTTTCTGCAGCCGTAGGTCTGGAGTATCGCACGTACTTCACTCCAGAGTGTGGACTTGGCGGGAAGTTGACTTATGAATTTCAGCGTGGCAATGCCTAGAAACCCTGGAAGCTTGTAGAGACAAGTCTAGGGCTCTCGGCATCATCCCCGACGGTCCGCGACGTGACAGGACATGGCTGGCCGGCGAGTCTTCCTTTCTGAGGCGCAGCTGGTGATCGCCGATCCATTTGCCGAGGTTCAGCAGTGGCATATGGATGCCGCATCAGGACGAGGACAGCTGCCTCTGCCCTCCTTCGGTACTTACTCACGCAGCACATGCGCGGAATCCAGCTGCACACCAAAGGATACCATATCAGCAAGGGAAGATAAGCTCGAGCATCCGAAGTTGAGGCGAGTGTGAATCTTCGTGCATGTCACTATCAAGTCAATGCGTGGTGCCACACTACTTCACCTAACATAGCCTTCGGAGACTTGGAAGTTCAGGCTGCGGAGCTTTGAACTTGAGCTTGCACCCAACAGGGCCCTTCACTCGGACCAGAAATCCAGGCGCAAATGCATCAAGAGCAGCTTGTTCTGCAAGCCACTCTACTGGAACACAGGTTGCGACCTCATCACCTTGAAAGCTGGCTTTTGCTTCGCCGTCTTCCTGACTCACACATGCAACAAATCCCCTCCTGTTTGCCCTGGCTGTGTAAAAGAGATATGAAACCATGAGGCTCCTGTTGCTCTTACTCTAGTCTAACGTCGGAATGATCGTATTTGTCCTTTTCGCTGCACTGATGCTTGAAGATGAATTAATGGCTGTGCAGACAAGTGTGTGCAAGAAGCTTGGGTGCCCACGGTCGGAGCAAGAGCCAAGTGCTGCTCAAATGCCAGCACTCAAACCCAACCTCACGGTGGACCCTTGCATGTCCTCCAGGACTCTCCGTCTTCCTGCCCCTTCAGAATGTGGCAGCAGATCGGGGTCCGCAGGAGTTACTACCCGGGACACATGCGCTGCACGAGCCGAAGCTGCAAAAGATGTGTGGAGTTCTTCCGTTTGACTCTTGGATGTGTGGCCGTTCAGATGATTTCCAGCTTCAGAGGGCTGCTAATGCACGAGGAGGGACGCTCCTACAGGTGAATCGACCCTCTAAGCTATTTGTCTTTCGAGTGTTGGATCGAGCAGACCGTGACTGGCTTCGTCCGAGTGTGAGTGTCCAAAAAAGCCTTCCGCCTCCCGCGGCATCAGCAGCATCAGCACCAGCAGCAGCAGTACCGTTTTCCAAGCCCTCACGGACCGTGCACTGAACTTACACGCAGGAGGCTTGAGCCAGTCATCTCGCGACCATCGGTTCCCCAAGAATAAGCCATTGAATAAGCTCGACTTTTGCCAATCTTATGGTGCCAGATATTCCGGAAAGGCCAGACTCGCCATGCAGCTCAAAGGCGCCATACTTTAGACCTGCTTCTGTTTTTTAACTGTTGCTGGAGCGGAAGTGAAACTCATACATGTAAGCAGAATCCTGACGACAACTCTCTTGGTCCTCGAAACAGCGACAGCTGCTCACCATAGGGCCACAGGGGCCGGAATAATCATCCTTTGCACCATATTCGGCCCAAAGAGCCCCATTCAATGACTCTTGTCAAGGCCCCCGTACATTCGGCACTCCCACTCCCTCCTTCAGGACTACCGACGTGGCCTCCACGAGAGATGCCGGGACTGCTTCCGCAGCCTTTGCGCCACGCACGGCACAGTGAAGACCGCTGGAGGTGCTGAGGCTCGAACGGGGATGGGAGGCTGAAAACCAGCAAATCTCTTAAAGGGCTCTTGTAAGACTCCATGCATTTAGCGGGTTCCATTTGAAGATATGTTTTCATTCTTCTGCGGAGCAGAATACCTTTCATCCTCAAAGTGGGAAGAAGACTTCGTAGTGAAGTTGACAATTATAAGCCTGAAGGACTGCGTGGGAGGGGGGGTTCACGGGTGAGTCGGCTGGGGGGCTGATGCTCACAATGCTGGATTTGGAAGTTTAATGTGACCCAAACCACCAAAATTGCAGTTTGGGTTGGCAACAGCCCTGACCAATGCTCATGATGCTGGGTCTTTGGGCCTCCGTGGATCCAAACGAGCACATCGCTTCTTTTGATTGGCAACAACCTCAGGATACTGGGCGGTCGGGGGCTCTTGATGCAGGCCAAACCACAAAACGTCGGGTTTGGGGCTACGGCGGGGTGGGCGAGCCGGGACTGGGAGCCACGGCCAGGGCCTCACAAGTCAGTTGCCATCTTCGATCCTGGCAGTGCCCGAACTAGGCCAGACACGTGACCTCGCAAAGCTTTCACGGGTTTCATCTCGAAGCGTGTTTCGTTGTCAGGGCAGCTCTCCTCAATGTTCTACTTGTTGTGCTTTCTCTTCTCCGCGGCGGATGGCGTAACATGGCAACAACGTACTTTCGATGAGAACGCGTTTCATTTCCAACTGTATAAGAAGCTCCATCAAATGAACACGTTTCACTTTTTGGAAAGAACACAAACCAACTACTTATATTAAATTTAAAACATCAATGAAAGAAAAACACGCCAAGGCATGTGGTGTAGAATGGCCCCGTGGGGCATTCCACCAAACCGAGTCTCATTAGCAATTCCTGTTGCTTGCAGCTTGCCAGACTTGGCCGCGACTGCTGAATGTCCTGTGCTGGTTTGGGCCTGCAGCAAAAAAGGTCATCTTGCTCCAGAAACAAGATTCCACTTTCCTGTCAACAAATGCCGTGCTCCGTATCTGTAGAAACAAGGCCCGGCTTTATCGCCACGACTAGTGGCTAAAGTATGCCGAAGGTGCTTCAGAACAAAGCTGCGGGGGCCGTGTTTCACTGCCATAGCGGAATGAATTCCTCAGACATGCAAAACCGGGTGCGATAGGTTTAAGTTGCAGGAAAACGTGGAAAGACTGACAAGTTTGGGGAGAGTGCCGACTCGAAAAGGTTGAGGAAGCAATGCCCTTCGTTGCACAAATTGTTCCGGCACATGGCCACCCTGGTTCTCCGTAAATTTCAATCATTCAGCTGGAAAGTAATGAAAACCGTTAGCGTTTTAAGCATTCAAGCGAGGGGGCGCCAACTACATGATCCCTGTTAAAGGTTTCGCGCAGAGTCTATTGAAGTGTTACTTTACTTCCCGTATTTGTGACTTCGGCCACTTCTTCCTGGAATCTGTCATCGTGCATGTAGCTACCTGTAGCCGATCCGCCATCACTGGTAACACTGTTTTGGCCAGTATTCAATACTGCATGCAAAGTGTCCGCTGTTTTCCACAATCCCCCGTTTGTCTTGCCGGTTTGAACCCTTCATCACAACAGAAGGGGAAGAAATCCCGGCATGGCACTAAAGGACGCATGCTAAAACAGCAGAACTCTTTGTAAGGAAGCTCTAAGGTAGCCACTTATCCTTTGAATATCAGAGATGCCGAAACGAAGTCGGCGTGGTAGTGCTGGGCACCATGGTCAAAGGTTCAGTGGTGTCTGGCAGGTAGTTTTGTGCTGGCGGGTTGCGATGGCTTGGTTTGACCTTGGGGTGTTCTGTAGGGTTCAAACAGTCACAAACATGCTGCATTCAGATTAGGAGTCTGGGGTGGGGGACAGGTTTAACAGTTCACGTGTGATGGGTCGAAAAATGTATTGATGGATGCACGCAGGCACGCACGGCAGGCAGGGAGGCATGCAGCCATGTATGAGCATAGGCTTGTTGTTGTATGCATGTTTGCATGTTTGTGCGTCTGTCTGCTTGTCTTCTCTATGTGTATGGCATTACAGAACCACAGACGCACACAACTACATCTACGTATGTGCGTATGTGTATGTGTATGTATGTATGTATGTATGTATGTATGTATGTATGTATGTATGTAAGGTATGTACTCTATGGCATATCTTTCCTAGCCAGGCGGGAGGGAAAAAATGCCATTATTTCCGGTCTGCGTGTACGCACGTAGGTATGTATGTAATGCGTGTAGAACTTGTATGCGTGCATGGTTGCATGTATGCAGTATGTACGTATGTGTTCGTTCTGGGCATGGAAATGCACATGCAAATGCATAGGCTAATGCACATGTAAATGTACGGTTACCTGGGCATGTCCTCTTTACGTAATTATATGCACACACAGAACCAATTATGCATATGCATGTAAACATTCATATGTAAGTAAGTTAAGTAAGTAATTAAGTATAGGTAAGCAAGGAAGTAGGTAGGTGTGTAAGTATGATGTATGTATGTATGTATGTATGTATGTATGTATGTATGTTTGTATGTATGTATGTATGTATGTATGTACACATGTCTGTATGTATGCATGCATGTATGTACCTTATGTATTTATGTATGTATGTATGTATGTATGTATGTATGTATGTATGTATGTACGCATGCATGTATGTATGTACGTATGTATGTAGTTAGTTGTTGATCAGAGGTAGTCAATTGCCTCAAGTCAGAATCAGAATTTGTTGGGTCAATTGGCTTGGCTCATACCATGCCGCCAGACTCTCCAGAACCTACGCAGGTTTGGTCTGCCGGGGATGCGCTTGTCCTGGATAGTGGGCTGCTGCACCGAGGCGTGGGCCACCGGTAAAAACTTGGTTGATATAACCCGGACCGCCGAGAGGATTTTGCATGCCCGTTGAAGGCCTCGCAAACGACAGCTTGGGTGCTCCGGTGCCCATGCTGGTCTTGAGATACGACTTGGTGGACAAGCCTCCGCCAGGCAGGTCCGGCTGCGCTCCAATGCATCTGCTTGCAAGGTGCTTGCCGAGTTTGTTGCTGTTTGACAGATAGATTCATCGGGATGGTGAAAGGTTGTCGACGCAGCTGGCTGTTGGCCATGTGCCAAGTCGGGCGCAGCTTATCCTCGGTTTTCCGGCTCTATGCTTGGATTTGACATGCGCGCGTCAAAAAATTCGGTGCATCGGCGCGCCTCCAGCTTGGCATGCGGTTCCACACGACCCCAAGAGGGCAGCTGCACGACACAAATCCCCAGCTGCTCCCAGCTCCGCAGTCGGGCTCGAAATCTGGGGCTTCGCCCGCCATAGGCTTAGAGGCTTCCCAGCCATGAATCCGCAAAACAAGGCCGCCGTTCGCTTTGCGATATAGCACAACGCATGCTGAATGGATGAGAGAGGGCTTTTCATGCGCCGTGACCTAATCGGGAAATGCGGAGCCAGGACACAGCGCAGTATCAGACCCTCAAGCGGATTCAGAAGAAATTCCTGGTTCGTTGCAACGTGCCACCCTCAGTATGCCCATCCTAGTCTTGCAGGAAGGGAACGATGTCAGGACGTCTATTCTGTCGTCTATAGGGTCTTGGGTCTAGCAGGTTTGTCCAGTCAGTGACAAAAGTTAGTTAGTAGGTGTGCGAGCGCGTGGCTGATTAGGAGTCGCTCACGAAGATCATCCCCGGCAGTGGCGTCCGGCCTGCCAGTGAAATCAGGCAAGATCGAGTAGTAAATTGGACCAGTGGTAGACATGTGGCAACAGTACTAGCAGCACGGTTGCAGTGGCAACAGTAGCAGCTGCAAGCAACTACTAGCGGTAGTAGTTGCGTTGAAATTGCTGCCGGTGTTGTTTCGATGTGTTGTGTTGAACACTTTCAGCATAGGTAGGCAAGTCTTTCGGTGCTGGATGCTACATATGACATATGCGCAGTTCTGTTTAATCACAGGGTCCCCCTTGATCAGCATTTTCAGGAGTTGGCTGTAAGTTGAATTTGCTCTGCTGCAAGGCGGCAGGAGAAGGATCTGAAGCCGGCGCCTCGAGAAACGGCTCATTGGCTTGGGTTTAGGGCTCGGAGACAGAGGACGAGGACGCCCCCTAATAGGCGGTCTTGGATCATAGCACATCCTGGGCTCGCTGAGGGCGAAGCGGCAGGAACTTGGCAAGCTTGCCGAGCAAGAGTTGTTGCCGAGAGCTCACGGGTCATGTCCAGCTATGTGTGGCATTTTGGTACGGTGTGGTTAGGTTGTGTGCAGCATCAGCGATGCAAGTCAGCTTCGCTCAATCAACCCGTGCCAGATACTTCCCGACTGTGTCTGAGTCAGGAGCAAGGACAGTGGACGGACAAGTGGCACCGGGTAAGTGCTGCCGCAACGAGCGCACGCGCGCTGTTCATGTGTCTGAGCTGTCGAAAACTCTCCTTGCACTTCGCAGGAAGAAGCAGGCTGAGCAGGCTGAGGTTGCCAATAAAAGGGCCAAGCACTCAGTGCAGGGCATTGTTCCCACGGGGAAACAACTCATATCCTCGGCTTGAATCTTGGGGGAATGGAGCCCTTTTGCTGAGCCTGCACGTTCGCACCATGCAAGGCCCAATTGGCGGATCAGATCAAGGAACTGGAGAGGCTAGCAGGGGCTGCCGTCACTATACTTCTCTCCCCACTCATTTCTCGACAGCTGGAAGTTTTGCCAGCAGTTTCCTGGACAAATCCTGGCAAGGCCGTCGTGGGGTCTCTGCTGACTGGGCTGTTTGATGATATTCAGGGACTCTCCGCTTTGAACTCTGTGGGCTGCGGGCAGCGCACGGAACGAGGGCAACAAGTGAGTATGTACGGATGTATATGTGGGTTTGCTGTACGCATGTGCATATGTATGCATGCGTTTGTGGGTGTATGTGTATGCTAGTGTATGCCTGTATGAAGATGTGCATGTACGGCCGTATGTCTATATGTATGCGGTGTGCATGTAAGTACAAGTCGGAGTATGTATGTCTGTATGTGTGCATGTATGAATACATGTATGTATTTATGTACATACATTCGTACGCACCTACGTGTGTATGAGTGTGTACCTGCACGAATGTATTCTGTCCCAATGCACAAACTCACGCATTGCAATGTATGCTAAGGCTCTTACAATTTAATGTAAAGATATATGTCTCATGTTTCTCATGTATGTGCATGTAGGTGCAGGTATGTACTGTATGTACTGTCGGTGCTTTACGTAGTGCATGTAATGCATGCAATGCAATGTATGTACTGTATGGTGCATCATGTATGGGTGCGACGTTGTTGCGCGTGCCATGCATGTTGTGTATGCCATGTTCTGTTACGTATGATGTCCATTTATTTTTTAGTCCGTATGTGTGCACGCATTTGCCTCACTGTCTGGACACATGCCGTGTGCTGTATGTCGTGCCTGTAACTAGTACGTTGTAGGTATTTATGTATGAGTTGGCGAGCTATGCAGTATGCACCATGGCAGATGTTGCGCGTGCGCGTGCTTTCAGATACATACATACATACATTACATGACACCACATACACAACACGACGTTAAATTGCATTGCTCATTACTTTCATGGCAGTCACACAGTGGCATTGATGCATGTATACAGATTCCCGTACTCACATGCTGGCTTACATACAGTCAATTATTTACAGTCTTACATGCATGCGCACATACAAAACATAGACACATAAATGCATAGGTATGCATACGTACATACGGCCATATGTGTGTGTAGGTATGTACATTTAAGTATATATATATATACATATTTACATGTGGATATATATATATATATATGGTACC